ACATCTCCCTTCACCCACTTTTCTGTTGTCCGTCCCCCAGGGAGGAGGTCATATATAGTTCCTTGTAATCAGTTCCCTCTTTCCAACCCACTCTCCCTCTACCCTTTTTCTTAAAGGCAGGAAGTTTGATTATTGTTTTTTGTTTGTTTGTGTATTTTCCCTTTATTATGTTTCTATGTTTCTTTTTATGAAAAGTAATAATATCCAGATTATGCAGAGTTCTGAGGTATTTGAGTTGGTTACGTAGAAAAAAATGAATTTACTTCTGTGCTCCTTAAACAGAGCATCTTAAACACTTAAGTAATTTTTTTTTTAAGTTAGGTATATTTGTAGGCTTTCCTAGGAAACCCCATGGACAGGTGAAGATTTTCATCATAAATACAGAGATTTGAACATTTGTGATGATTGAAAACCTGAAGAAACAGAACCCCAAATTAACAGTGAAATTGTAACCTCTTAGAAAGAAGTTAACAAAAAAAAAAAAGAAAGAAGTTAACAAATACAAAGAATCATCAGGTTCTAAACAAATCCCCAACATTGTGTATATAATTAAAAAAGTAAGAGTCTGCAGCTTTTTACTGATCATGTTATTGGAATTCACACTGTCTTTAGTAATTTCCATGTCATTAAACTACAAACCATGTTTTAAATTGAATGATTACTTCAGAACACCCTCTGTCAACTAGCTGTGTGCAGTACAACGATGCTGAAAGTCCAGTGGCTAGCATTTGCTCGCTGGATCCCATGGGTGTGTAATAAAAATACTGTTAGCACATTGAGGCAAAGCTCTGGCAGTCTGACCTAGCCTGCAGCAGTAGAATAGCAGCTATAGTAGCTGTGCCGTACTGGTACGCAACACACAAAAATTGAACGTTTCATTTGAGTAACACAATTGGGTAACTAGTGGGGGGGTGTCTCGAATAATAAAAGATCTGAGTTGCTTCTATTATTTTTTCAGGCTGGAGAAGGCACCTTGCCTCATGAATTCATGGAAGGTGTAGAGGGAATTGCAGGGGGTTTTATTTACATTATTCAGGGTAAGTGTGGGTTGGAAATTGAAAAACCTACTGTATCTCATCTACCTATATACTTTGACATAAAGATGTTAATTAAAAAAAATAATAACTTTATTTAGAATTAATTCACGTAACATACATTTACCCATTTGAAATGTGTAAGTCAGCAGTTTACTCAGTCTTTTGTAACCATCACCACTGTGCAATTCCAAAACACTTGTATTTTTCCACTTAGAAGCCCCCTCCCTTTTAGCAGTCAGATCCCTTACTCTCTTTCTCCCCACCCCCTGGAAACTACTAATTTACCCATATTCCTCTATGGGTTTACCTATTCCAGACATTCCATATACATGAAATCATGTCATCTTATGATTTTTTTCACTCAACATATTTTCAAGGTGTATCCAGGTTTATATTGTCACTTGACTCATTACTTCGTTTTATGTCTGAATAATATTCATTGCATGGATACATAGCACATTTTTTTGATCTTTGATTATTTCACGAATATTTATGTTGCTTCCACTTTTGGGCTCTTTTGATTAATGGTGCTATGAGTACTTGTGAATTTTTTGCGTAAACATATATTTTCATTTCTTTTAGATAAATACTTCAGGATGAAATGCTGTCAAGTCTGTTTAACCATTTGAGAAACACCAGGCTCTTGACAGTCATACACATTTTGACCCATTTCTGTGTCCTCACCAACACGATTGCCCATCTTTTTATTCAAGCCTTCTTAGTGGGAATGTAGCTCATTATGGTTTTAGACTTGCATTTCTTTGATAACTAAAATGATGTTGCATCTTTTTAATAGATATTTAATATAGCTTTCTTAGACAAATATCTGTCCAAAGCTTTTGCCCATTTTAATTGGGTTATTTATCTTTCTGCTTAACTTTTTACTCTGAATCGGGTAAAAGTTTACAGAGCAGATCACCAGTTCGACAAGTCGTGCATATTTGCTCAACTCGTCCAGTGCAATCTCCGTGTACCCTCATGTCCACTTTCTCCCTTATTGCCTGCTTCCATTCTTCCTTCGTTCCTAACCCTCGGGACTTTCAGTAAATATGTGCTTTCGATCGTAAATGGTTTATTGCCCTAACCACAGAGGTGAATTCAATTCCAGGCCTGAAGGGTGACGAAGGACCATAGATTCAGGGGTCCTACCTATCTCTGTCCGACCAATAAGCCTGATCTTTTTCATAGTTTTGAATTTTATTCTTCATTTTTCTCCCACTTTATCCAGGACCTTCTAATATGACCCTTTTCAGAGCAGTTTGGCGACTGATGTTCATGTGGTTATTCGTGGTGTCTTTTACACCCAGTGGAGGCCTGGTAGTGTAACAGGTTCCAAGTGGGGCTGCTAAATAAAAGGGCAGCAGTTTGAAACTACCTGTGCAAGAAAGATGAAGCATTCTGCTTCTATACATCTTTACAGCCTCAGAAACCTATAGGCACACTGAATCAGAATCAACTTGATGGCCGTTAGTTTTGGGTCTAACACCCAAAGTTTTAATTTTGGCAAAGTCTAGTCTGTTGTTCTTTGGTTGCTTGTGCTTTTGATGTTACATCTAAGAAACTATTGTTCATTACTAAATAGCAAAAATTTACATCTTTGTTTTAAGAGTTACAATTTTGCCTCTTACATATATATCTTTGACTCATTTTGAGTTACATGGTGTGAGGTAAGGGATCAAGGGTGTTACATGTGGCATCCAGTTATCTCAGCACCATTTGTTAGAAAGATTTTTCCTTCCCCATTGAATGTTTTTGGCAAAATTGTTAAACATCAGCTGACTATAAATGTACTTTTATTTCTGGACTCTGTTCTATTCTGTATGTCAGTTCTTACACCCCAACCATATTGTCTTGATTACTGTAACTTTGCAATAAGATTTGAAATCAGGAAATCTGAATTTCCAACTCTCTTTGACAGTTGTTTTGGCTATTCTGTGTCCTTTGCATTTCTGTATGGGTTTTGGAATCAGCTTGTCACACATGCACACGCACACGCACACGCACACACATACACACGCACACACGCACACTCCAGCTGTGACTCTGGAAGGTATTGCCTTTATGTGATCTGCAGATTAATTTGAAGAGTACTGCATCTTACCATTTAAATATTCCAGCATATAAACATAGGATGTTTTTCTTTTATATAGTCTTTATTCTGTGATGTTTTATCATTGTACAGGTCTTGTACTTCTTTTGTTAAAATTCTTTTTTTTAATTCAGCTATAAATTTTCAAAACGAAGGCTAAAGCATAAAGTATTTATATAGCACTTAACATTGTATTAGGTAATATAAGTATTCTAGAGATGATTGAAAATGTGCTAGAGAGTAGTACAGGTTATACGTAATCACTAACCATTTTCTGTAAGGGACTTTAACAGAACCAGCCCCTCCCCCCATGGACACCAGGAGTCAACTGTTTTGATCCTATTGGCTACAGCATTGCCAAACTTGTTGAATAGTTTTTTTTTGCAGATATATTTAAATATTCTACTGTGAATAGGGATTTACTTTTTCCTTTCCAATCTGGATGCCTTCTCTTTTTCTCCTTTTCTGTCCTCTCTTCCCCTTTTATTGCCCTTGCTAGAACCACTAATACAATGTTAAATGAAAGTAGCAAGAGCAAATAAGCTCGGCTTATTCCTGAGAGTAGACTATATTAGGTTAGAACTTTGGAAGTCTATTTTAGCCAGCTGCCTAGATGAATTGTGACGTACACCAGAGTTTGAAAGTTGTATATCATTCTTTTAAAAGCTACAAGACAGATCATCAGGTTGAGAAAACATACACATACACACACACACACACACACACACACAGAATTAATTTATACTCAGACTTTTAGGAAAACCCATTATAAAATGCATCATTCTACTATTGTCAGGTGCTTCTGGGCCAGTTCCGACTGTGCACAACAGACTGAAACCCTGCCTGATCCTACACTGTCTTCACAGTTGTTATATTTGAGTCTATTGCTGCAGCCACTGACAGTCTTCCTGCTTTTCACTGACCCTCCACTGTACCAAGCCTAATGTCTTTTTCTCAGGACTGTTTCTCCTGATAGCATGTCCTAAGTACCTGCAAGGAAGCCCTCACCATTCTCATTTCTAAGGAGTGTTCTGGTTGGACTGATTCCAGGACCGATTTGTTTGCTCTTCGAACACTCATGGTATCTTCAGTATTCTCCCCCACACTACAGCTCAAGTGCAGCACTTCTGTGGTCTTCCATAGTCATTGCTCGACTTTCACCTGCATCAGAAGCCACTGAAAAGACCCCAGGTTGGCTCAGACATACTCTAGTCTTCACAGTGACATCTTTAGTCTTCAGTGCTGGAAAGGTCTTGTGCAGCATATTGAACCAAAGAAATATGTCCTTTAATTTCCTCACCGATAGATGCTTCCATGTATTATTGATCCAAGCAAAATGAAATCTTTGACAACTTTTATCTCCTCTTATCATGGTATCTATTTTTCCTGTTGTGAAAAGTTTGGTTTTCTTTATCTCAATGTATAATCCATACTGAAGGCTACATTTGTAGGTCCTCATCAGCAGGTATGTCAAGTCTTCCATACTTTCAGTAAGTAAACTTGTGTCTTCTGCATATCGCAGGTTGTTAATATGCCTTCCTCTAAATCTGACACCACATTTTCTTCAAGTCTTGCTTCTCAGATTATTTGTTTAGCATACAGCTTGAATAACTGTGGGGAAAGGATACAACCCTGATACACCATTTTTCCTGATTTGTTCTGTTTAAACATGAACAGGTTCCACATGAGCACAATGGAGTGTTCTGGAATTCTCACTCTTCTCAGTGTTATCCATAGTTTGTTATAATCCATACTGTTGAGTGCCTTTGCATATTCAATAAAACACCAGTAAACATCTTTCTGGTATTCTTTGTTGAATACCAGATCTATCTGATGGTATTCAACCGAGATCTCTCTGATGTCCGCAGGGATACCCCGTGTTCCACATCCTCTTCTGGATCCAACCTGAATTTCTGGCAGCGTCCTGTGGATGTCCTGCCGGAACTGTTGTTGAATGCTCTTCAGCAGCATTTTTATTTTGCTTGCACGTGATCTTAATGATCTTGTTTGCTAATTTCCCCATTCTGTTGAGTCACTCTTCCTTGGGCGCGGACAGTTGTGGATCTCTTCCAATTTGTTGGCCGGGTAGTTAATTATCTTTCAAAGTTCGTGGCATAGGTTAGTGCTTCCAACATTTATCTGCATGTTGAAACGTCTATTGGTATTCCATCAATTCCCAGAGGCTTGTTTTTTCACTAATGCCTTTACTGCAATGTGGATTCCTTCCTTCCATACCAGCAGTTTTTAATCATATGCTGTCTTTTGAAATGGTTGAATGTCTACAAGTTCTTTTTGATACAGTGACTCTGTGTTCCTTCTATCATCATTTGGTACTTCCTGCATCATTTGTTATTTTACCCATAGAATCCTTCAGTATTGCACCTCGAGGTTGGGATTTTTTTCTTGTTATTTCAGCTCAAGATATGCTGGATATATTCATCCAGTTAGGTTTTCTAACTCCAGGTCTTTGAACATTTAATTATAACATTTCACTTTATATTCTTGAGTTAACCTTTTAATTTTTCTGTTCAGATCTTTCACTTTGTCATTTTCATTAATTTAGATATACCAAATTCAAGAGCAAGTTTCAGGGTCTCTAACATTCACTTTGTTCTTTTCTTTCTTTCTTGTCTTTTTAACAACCTTTTGCTTTCTTCATGTATAATGTTTTTGGTGTCATCCCATAGCTCATCAGGTCTTCTGTCTTAAGTATCCAGTGTGCCAAGTCTATTTTTGAAATTCAGGTGGGATGTATGTACTCAAGGTGGTATTTTGGTTCCTGTGGACTTGTTTTAACTTTCTTCAGCTTTAGCCTGACCTGACATACGTGCAATTAGTGGTTGGTTCCACAGTCAGCTCCTGGCCTTGTTTGGGCTCCTAATATTGAGCTTCTCCATCCTCTCTTTCCACAAATGTAGTCAGTTTAATTCCTGTGTATTCCATCTGGTGAAGTTTATGTGTATAGTCACTATGTTGTTGAAAAAGATCCTTGCAATGAAGAACTTGTTGATCTTACAAAATTATATCATGTGATCTCCAGCTTCATTTCTATCACCAAAGCCATATTTTCCAATTGCTGCCCCTTCTTCAATGTTTCAACTTTTAAATTCCAACTGCCAGTAATTATCCATACATCTCGATTACATGTTTGATCAATTTCAGGTTAAAGAAGTTAGTAGAATTCTTCAATTTCTTCATCATTGCCATTAGTGGTAGGTGCATAAATATGAATAATAGTTTAGACATATTTACCTAAAGGGCCTATATTTAATTTTTATATTCATCTTATTATCAGTCACTTTCCTGTTGTTGTAATTTTGTAATAGTTTTGCTTCAAGTGTTACATTGTATATGTCTTTTTCTTTAAAGTAAAATTTGTTACAGTAGTTTTTACAACAGAATGTAAAAAATGCTGCAATGAACTGAAGTGATGATGAAAAAAAAGAAGAAACATTGCTGGGCCCCACTGCCAAACAGTGTTGTGTGAACATTCATGTAGACATGTTAAATAATTTCTCTAGGAGTAGATCTAAAAGTGGATTTACTAATCCATTAGCTATGTTCATCTTCAGTCAAGATAGGCACTGCCAAATTGCTCTTAAAATGTTTCCATTTGGCACGGGAGTTCTTTCCCTACCTAACAGCTGTGATTTCTGTTAGGCCACTGAGGGAAAGTTTTAAGGGCATCATATTAGACATTCTGGGTTTTAAGTCTCCAGTAGCATTTTTCTGCAACTTCTCGATTTTTCCTTTTAGAAGGTGATACTCTCCTTAAAAACCTTCGTTCTCGTCCTCAAAGACTTATTGATCGTATAACTGAACTCCGTGAGGAAGATGCCTTACTGAAGGAGGAAAGCAGCATCTATAATGATATTGTTTTTGTGGATGTTGTCGACACTTATCGAAATGTTCCTGCAAAATTATTGAACTTCTATAGATGGTAGGTTGTGAAAATACTCGTTAGCTAGAACTTGTTTTATTGTTCTTTTGATATGGAAACAATTTATCAACCTCAGAAGTCTATTTAAAAGAGCTAAGACCTCTAAACACCTTCTTATTTAGATTAGCAAATCCATAAAATGAAATATATGAATGTATCAAAATCAAGGCAAAAATTGATTCATTTTGAGTCATTCTTACTTTCTGTGATTGTCTCAAATAAACATTAGGTGAAGATCTATTCTGAAAACAGTGGTCTAATAGCGATTGTATTTATATCCACCTATCTAAATTCTCCAGTGATAAATAAGTCTGTCAGACCCAGGTTACTTACCTGGATTTTAGTCAACTGAACATCCACCTGCTCTGTCTATTCTCTTTTCTTCTATTCTTCCTACTTAAAACTATTGTGATTAGTTACCACTGAATTAATTCAGACTCATGACAACCATATATGTGTGCAGAGCAAAACAGGATTTCAAGGTTGTGATCTGTCAGAGAAAATTGCCAGGCCTGTTTTCAAAGATGCATCTAGCTGCGTTCAAACGACCAACCTTTAGGCTACTAATCCAGCACTTAACCTTGAGCCACCCAGGGATTCACACTGAAAGGTATTTGCCCTATTTCCAAAACCCTTACATAAGGTGGTGCACTGAAATTTAACCACTTATAAAATCTTTCATAATTGTAGCTTCCCAAACCCTCCAGTATTTTTTCTATTTTATTTGTAATTACTGTCGTTATAATAGCAACAACTATGATTATTATTTATTACTATGAGGGGGCTTCAAAAAGTAGGTGGAAAATGGAACTGAAAGATAATGGAGTTTTTTCACAAACATTTTAGAGCCCCTCATATTATTGTTATATAACAGTTAATACATATATAAATATTAAGTAAATATGTACTAGCTGTTATTTTGGGTATTATTATAATACTCAATGCTATTGCCCCTATGTTTGAGACTAAAACTCTTTATGGGAGTAGAAAGCCTCATCTTTCTCCCACGGAGCAGCTGGTGTTTCAAACTACTGAACTTGCAGTTAGCAGGCCAATGTAAAACCACTACATCTCTAGGGCTCCTGTTATTAAACGATTCCATCATTTGCTACTGAGCCTCCTAATACTAGCTACACGTGCCTAACAAAATCCTCTAACTGCATCTCTCACTAGGCTGAACTTACTTTTTAAAAATAATAACAAAGCTTTGTCTTTTCTTACTTAAAACCTTGCAAGGGAGCTCCAGTCTGTCTCTTCATTTCCTCTGTTACCCAGAGCAGAATGGAAGTTTTTTATCTATTGCTGTATGGACATGGTTCTTGTTCCTGCAAGGTAGACATTCTAATGAGAATATGGAAGGTGGCATTTTTTTTTCTTTTTTAACATTTTATTAGGGGCTCATACAACTGTTATCCCAATCCATACACACATCAGTTGTGTAAAGCGCATTTGTACATCGTTTCTCAAAACATTTTCTCTCCATTTAAACCCCCGACATTAGGTCCTCATTTT